TGCCTCACACACCAGTCCAAAACAGAGCATCAGGAATGGGGTTTGCTGGTCAGAGCAGAAAGATGGGGGCTGCCTAGGAAAAAGCAAGCAGTATGGGTTTGTCCACCTCTCTCAAAAATTTCCTTTAATGACAATATATAAAGAGATGTGAGTTTCATCTGCTTCCCAGCTGCTCTGAAAGAGCCTGGTTGCCTTAATAAATCAACTTCTTTACAAGACATGACCGCTGGCCCATTTTTCAGCCTGCTTGTCTGTGTCAAGAAGCAAAGCCGGCAGAGCAATCCAAATCTGAAATATGGTGCTGAAGAGCAGAGGTGTGATAACAAAACTGCCGACAAACAGCGAAATGTTTTATTGAGCACAGGTGAAGGTCTTTTTAAAGAGATGATCTTTGATGGAAGGGGAGGAAGCGAAAATGGCAGCAACCCATCACGTGAAGGAAAGGAAGGCAGCTGGCCGCGAGGTGCAAACCTGGCAGAACATCACTCCTTCCTGCGTCTTGGGTTTGGATTTGGGAGAATCCCTTTAGGGCCACTGCTTTTTATGAGGGGAGGAAAAGCCTTGTTTGCAGGACGTTGACAAAATATAGCTGCGCTTTACGGTCTTAAATCATACTTAGTAAAAGTAGCTCCTGGGGAGAAAATGCAGCAGGAGGCAGCGGGTGTCCGGCCTCGCTGCTGGGGGTGCAGGGCACCTCCGTGGTGCATGTGGGGACGGTGCTGGAGCGGGGCACTGTGGTCCCGATCTGCCGGCCAGCATCCCGGCAGGACACTGCGTAACCCCCACTTTGTAGCAGGCATCGAAAAGACAAATCAAACCCCAGTGGGATGCTGTGGAAGAGGACGAAGGCAGCTCTGTTGGCTCAAGTCTGCCCGCGCTGGGTTGTTCCATATTGCCCAGGCTGGGTGCAAGGACGAGTCCCACCGGAGGGCTCTCCACAGCTTCCTCGTCTCACGGACCCCTGCATTAACCTTTTCTTGCATCTCTGCTGTGAACCGCCCTGGGTAAAGGGATTACATTTTTTTTCTTATATTCATTTAAGTGCTAAGGCCTCATTATGGAAAGGTCTTAAATAGAAGTGTCTTGATCCCAACCACGCAGCTACCATGCAAACCTCTGCTCTGCGCACTTGTGGTTTGGAGAAATGGCATACAAGGAAATAAAAGCATTTCTTTTGCTGCTGCCTATTGTATTTACCCCTCTGACAGATTCCTCTGAAATCTCAGATGAGGATTGGAAAGGCTCTGGTGTCTCCAAGTGTCTTTTAAAATGACGCTGTTCTGTGCTCTGCAGGCTGAGGGGTTGTTTTGATTGTTAAAACAGTTTCTAATTTATGTTTTAAAAAACCTTCAGGAACCAGACTGTTCCCTGCTCTCTCAGAGGCCATTGAGTTAAAACAAGGTAGAATGATTTGTCTTGCCTCAGTTTAGCTGTAATTAGTATTAAGTGGTTTATCTATGTGGAGAAAAGTTACTCAGCTAGATTACGTCCAACTTGAATTACACCCCATTCCAGATAGAGTATATTTTTTAAGATAGTAAATCTTGAGGAGGGTGGATAATAACAGTAATGCTCCTTCCTGGGCTGGAATGTGACTCTTCTACCTCTTGTGGAGATAATGTGCGGAGCTACATCCAATTAGTTTTTTCAAAGGCTTTGTTAAAGAAATGAGACTTCAGGTTTTACGGCTCTGCAAACAGTTTAGCTTGAAGCATTTACATTGTACAAGTGAGTGGTGGTTGATGGTGATTATGGTTTTCATCCATTTTGCTGTTGTGGGTAGCAGCCTGGCAAAGCACAACGCCATCTCTTTCCCCGACCTCTTCTTCTGCACCAAGTGTGATGGCTGTGAAAGGGAGGGTGCTGGGTGGGAGGTAAAGGTGTTTGGATGGGAAATTCCTTCTTTCTGGTGTCATCTGGTCCACTAAGGCACCCATTACTCATGCAGCTGGTGCTCGTGGCCCTGAGGAGTAACTGGAGGAGGACATTGGCCCTGCTGGCATCCCAAGTGGCATCGAGTGCCAGAGCATTCTCCCAAAAATCTTATCCTTGACATGTCCATGACCATGTGGCCTTGTCCACCATCCTTGTCTGCTTCCCTGATACTGTACCTCCCCTTCACTGTGCCACAGTTCTACACAGCCAACCAGCATGGCTGTCCAGCCAGGGTAGGATGAGATATTGGGTCACCAGTGAGGCACCAGCAGGCATGGGTGGACTTGAAATCGGTGCCACGAGGTGGTGGCCCAGGCAGGTGTACTGGGGGTAGACCCCAGCGTGCCGGTCTGGGAGCTGTTTGTTCATTTGGGCTGGTGAAGGTGGAACATTCCTCGTGGCTGGTGGCAGGCTTTGACAAGGCGATGGGGACTGTTAATTTTATTTCTAATGAAGGGGATGAGGGGGTCCAAGCTGCCAGCGATCCAGCTCTACCACCTCTCCTGAATGGGTCAGCGAGGCCGTCCTCACCCCATGGCTCTGGGGGAGGCAGGGGAGGAGGGAAACTCACTGATAAGAGGAAGGTCAGAGGCAGAAAAATGTTGGGAATGTGTTTCTTGATCTAACGTGGGAGAGACCCCGCCTGAGGTTTTGCTACTCATCCTGGCAGTGTTACTTTCTGCTGTCATGAGAGTTATGGGATTTTCTTAAAGCTGAGATCAGGATGCAAATGGCTCATCTGGCACCTACCTCAACACAGGCAGGTCCCGAAGATGGAGGTGGTTCATCTCTGAGGGCACAGTGAGGATGGTGATGGCTCTGAGCACTGTTTCTCCAGTGTGTATCCAGCACATAGTGGAAATGGTGGAGTCTCTGGTTGTCTTCAGCCAGAGCTGGAGGCTGTTCTGAGAACTGTTTAGCCAAATGGGTATTTCTGGGCTGAATTTAGGGGTAAGTTAACAAAGCGTGGTGGCCTGGGGCACGGAGGAGGTCAGACCAAAGGGTCCATGGTCCCCCTGGCTTTGTACTTAAGAATCTCAAACTCTCCTCTGACCCTGCTGGAGGACAGGTTCATTACTAATTCAGCAAGTTGTTCAAGCTGATGCTGAATTCTTGCTGACTTAAGCACCGATCTCCTGCAGCATTATACTCGCCACCTTTCGATATGCATGACTAAATTCATGACACTGCTGGCCTGAGGCCTTTGCAGGGAAGGTGCTATGGGTTGTTTCTGTAACCTACGTGGTTTGCCCTCTTCTCCTCTGATCTGGAGACTCTTCCCACTTTGGGGTTGTCGTTGGGCAGAGGTTGCGATCCCCCCAGCTGAAGGTGATGCTGCTGTGAACCTTACCACCACTTTGCTGAACTTACATAGCTTCCTATGGTGTCTTCTTAACCTTTTTCATGAGGACTTGTTTGGATTTCCTGGCTTTGGACAAAGCACAATCCAAACAAAAAAGTGAGCATATTTCCTCTGAGAGTGTTTGTGCTTTAGATGGGCACTTGACTCCGATCCATCCTGCTGTTCCTTTATGTGCGGTTTGGCACTTGTCTATGGCAGTACTTTTTCAAGCATATTCCAATTTTTCTCTTGAATGGTCAAAGCACTCTCAGTGATTAGCTGTAGCCTGCATGCTCGCTCTTCTGCTAAACTGCCCCCAAAGCGGCCAAGAAACGGCATTGAGGCTTGTGCCGAGCGCGCTCGGCAGCTCCTGGCAAAGGCAAAGATAAGCTGTTTAGTGCAGGGCCAGCCCAAACCTTGCACGTGGGCACGGGCGTGTGTTTGTGTGCGCAGAGCTGCAGCAGCTGGTGCCTGCTCACCATGGCAGGGCTGATCCTGAAGGGTGCCGGCAATCGCCAACGTGCACCGGTGTCGGCACGGTTGCATGAACGCCCAGTTCCTCGCCGATTCACGCTCAGCAAGGAGTCCTGTGGTTGAATAGTGGCTTTCGCAGGCATGCCGTAATAAATGAAATGACGTAAAATACGATTCCGTTTCACATTTGTGCAGGAAGCGTTCAAATTCTTTCATACGCTTAAGCTGCAAACTCCCTCTTTTCCTCCTGCGGTAACCACTCGCAGCCTCTGCTACCAAAATTGCAAGCGGAGGAGAAATTTTGCAAACATCCAGATGGATAGAAGGAACTATTGCAAGCTGCTAAGCTATAATGAAAACAGAGAAAAGGTTTTCCCAGGTTCGTTTATTTTCTTCCCTGTGAAATTCGCAAGTGTGTTGCTTCAAAGCATGTTTCAAAACAAAAACCAGATGTTTTGGAGAGCAGTAAGCCACCCACAGAGCTCTCCGGCAAATTATCTTCTACACCAGGTCACCCTATCTGGTGTTGCTGTCTTACTGCAATGGTAAACGGGCCGTTACATTCCTTCAGGTTGAATATTACCATTTTATGTGAGGTTATTCTGTATTTTATTGTCCTGGTATTTGTTCTGTTTAATGTCGCATGCTTCCACTAGAAAAAACAGATGCCCTGGGTAGGCGCTTGCTGTGTACGTCAGGCTGTGTGCGTGCTGCGGCTGTGGCCTGGCTGTGTACGCTTCTTCCCCTTTTGCAGCACTGGGAGCTGTGGGGGTGACCTCCTCGTACAGCTGTGCCAGCAGCTTATTTTTGTGAGTTTTCCAGTTGTTTTTGAAAGAAAAAAGGCACGCGTGTGGAGGGGTTGTTTATTCAAACCTGAAAGGAAACATCTTGGTCTGTTGCTGAGCATTTTGGTGCATTTTATATGAAGGAGAATGGCTTTCAAAGCTAGGAAATTACTTTTTAAAAAATTATGAAACACAATATTTCAACTTCACTTTCCTTCTCTACACCCCACCCCTCAGCCTGGTGGCACTGATACGGATTCACAAAAGATATTGCTGTTGCTGAATCTCAGCTTTTTACTGAAAATAAGCTTTTGGCAGAATCCCCTCCTCACCGTATACACTCGGGGTTTCATTCATTAGGTTTTTCCCAAACTTGCTTTCCACAGAGGGGGAAAACATCACTGTCTGAGGGTACTTGCCTGTCACACAAGAAGCCTAAACATATTTTTTCTCTTTTCCTAAAGATCCGTCTTCCAACTACATCAGACAACTTGAAACAAAAGTGAAACTGCTGGAGGATGACAACAAGCTTCTTTCCCAGGTAGGTTTTTTTTTTGCCTAATAGATATTAACGTGACTCGGTTCTCCTGTTTCCCTATAGCTGTGCCTGACTGCCCGCTGGAATGCACAAGGGCTTTCAGTGGATGTCCTACCAGGGGAAGAGCATAATGGTCTTTTCATATCAGCCCCCCACTGATAGAATTGGGTATCCTTTTGTTAAAAAAGATTAAAAAAAAAATACCTTCTGTTAGTAACTGTGTGTATTTTGGAGATGCATTAACACCTCCCTGCAGAACACCTTGATCCACCCCTGCTCTCGGGGGTGCTGCGAGGGTCCGGCACTGCCTGTGCCCTTGCTGTAGGATTTTGTCGTACTTGCCCATTTACATTGACTTTTATCTTGTTGAAAGAGGAGGCTGTAGTCAAAGGACAGCCTTGGGAATAGTTTTGTGCAGTGCTGGCTCCCAGCTTTTATTTGAGATCTTGCTTAAAACCAGACCAACCTCTTTAAATCTGGCACTTTCTGCTTGCATCTGCCCTTCAAAGTCTACTCCACGTGCCACTGGGCTTTTGATCACTCCTGGTGCTTACCTATCTGTATACAGGAATGTCAAGCAGCGGGAAGAAAGCAGTCATTCTGTCTGGTATGTCCCCTGGATCCCCTGTAAAACACAGCACTTGGTGTAAACAGGGGCAGCTTTGCTGAAATCAGTGAAATGCTGTCTATTTAAACCATTGGAAGAGTTACCCTTTTTCTCTTGTTCTTTGCATCCTTTCACTGTTGGACTGTTCTACCTCCCTGGCATTTTAAAGGGCTTTCTTTTATACTTTGCTTCTTGCTTCAAGCATGGAGTTTCATAGTCATTTTGTACCAGATTATTTCCAATTACAGGGACTGGAAATAAAAAACCCCTCCTAATTTATTTTTTTTAATACCCTTTTGCCAGTTTATGTTCTGCTGTTCTTTGCATTTCTCCAAGTCTGAAAATAGACTGCTTCAGGATCACGTTTCTAAAACGTTCCTTTAAAAAAAAATAAAAATGAAAAGAAGGCTTTATGCTTACTAAAATTTCAATAAAATAATTTTGTTAAACCTTATTTTTACTGAAATACACATTTTGACCTGACTCTGAGCTTTTCTTAAAGATTACCCCAAATTTCCAGTGTACTCATTGGCATTGCTAGCCACGAAACAAAACTCACAGGGCACTGAAGGGTTAAAACCCCAAAAGGGTGCTCAGCTGAACAGCTACAGAGTGGCTTCATGTATTAATCAATTGCTAATTTAATTTTAACTCCCTCTGTCTTTCTCCCGACCCGTAAGTGAGCTGGTGGCTGAGCTGGTGGTGGTCAACCCGGAGACTGTTTAATTGGAGCTGTGGATAAGCAGATGGGCTGTGGATGGGCAGTTGGGATGCGCGCATGGATTTGGGGACTGGCTCCATGTGCCCTTGGCCCAGCTTCTTCCTGCCACAGCTGAGCACATTACTCTGTTGGATCTGCCGGATGAGGTCAAAAAAAAGTGGTTAGTGATTAATGGGTGGTAAATTAATAGGGCTGAATCGCTGCCTGGGCTTATTGCATCGGGAGGATGAAGCCCGGTCAGGCTCAGGGCGCGTGAGCCTGAAGCAGCCCCACGCATCAGCCCTTCACCTCCCTGCTGCCCCGGCTGGGAAGACCCGGGTGGGAAGGCTGTGCCTTTTTCTCCCTGCACACAACTGCCCTCAGGCATCCTCACCTTTCAGGCTGTGTCCTTCCAGGAGGGAGGGAAATGCTCTTAAAACAGCTCTGTGCTCTGGAGAGGGCCAGCCACCTCCCCAGCGGCAACAGCCACCGACACCAGCCTGGCTCTGATGTTCCGTGCAGCCCCTGTGCCCTCCAGAAAGACCAAGATCCAACTTATTTCAGATGGCACTTGGGAAATGCCTCTTTTTATCATAGCGCTGAGACAGCTCTCCTTAGGGAACAGGAGAAGTGTTGAACCTGCCGTGATCTGGGTGGACTCCCAGAGAGTACTGAGCTGCATCGCCTGCAAAGCTGTGATGCTACAAACCTAGATTTGGATTTTTTCTCTTTTAATGAGAAAGATGAGGAAAGTCTGTATAGGCACAAACTCGCATGCATATGTACACGTAGCTCTCAGCACTTTCCCAGAAAAGTATAATCCACTTAGTCTATTCTTTCTTGCTTCACCTGACTGGAAAGTGTTTAGCTGTTACCATGCGGATCTTGGGATAAGACTCTTGTCAAAAAGGATCCTGGCAAGCTTTCCTCCTGTTTTTAAAGTTGCCAGGTGATCCTGGCCGTTTGAACTCTGCAATGCCAAACTGGCTTGTCAACACCAAAGTCACATTTTAACTCAGCTTGGCTTTCTCCCTGGGAGTATTGACATTGCAATAATATTTGCAGTCTGGTGTCAAGAAGTTCTATCACCAGCATGCTGAGGAGTGATGAAACCTGACGTCCTAAGTAACAAACAGTGCCTGTGCATTAAGGGATTAACAAATCAGTGGTGGTTATGGAAGTCTTCCTGGCTTCTCTCCAAGCACTAAACATAGAGCTGAAATAGTGCTTCATCCAGAGAAACCGGAGAAGTGCTGCAAATGATACTGCAAGCTCTGTGGGAGGATTTATGTTACAGCGGCCGGTGGCACAATGCCCCTTTGCTAGCTGGTGTGTCCTGAGCAAGATTTGTTGCTTTATGTTCTTCGGCATCTGGGCTGTGAAGCTATGCTGAGAGCTGGTGTCTTAGTAGCGTCTTCAGGCATGGAATTAAGTTGGTGCAGGGGTCCCCAGCCTGCTCTTTTTCTCCTGCTTCCCGAGATCTCCTTTCTCCGTAAGCACTTTGGAAGAAATTCCCAGTGGGAGAGGCGAGAGCTCTCCAGCCCGTGCCGAGGTAGTCGCTCTGCCCGGTACGTGTTACCTGCAGCGCAGGCATGCTGAGATTCACACTTCTCTTCTTCTTGTGACTCATTCGAACAGATTAATGGAGAGTGCTTTTCCTCCCCTTCGAAGATCAAGAAGTACCATCCCACGAGCCGCACTTTGCAGTGGGAGGAAAGTAAACGGAGAAGTGGATATTATTTATGATAGCCGTATAGGGTTTTTTTTTTTGTTTTGACTTCTTTTGCTTTCTAGGGAAGGAGATGTGTGTTTCCTGTTGGGAAATGAGCTGCTTCTGACATTGCTAACGCACCAGTAATCATCGCTCTTCCCAATCTCCTTTCTCTGAGGAGAAACGACTCCTGTTTCATACCTTTTTTTGACTCAGGCTTACGCTTTAATGTTTAACTAGAAAGTCATGCTCTTGGACGGCAGTGCTGTGCTGGCAAAGTCCCAGGCAGCAATCCTGACAACACGCAGCTTTTGTTGCTGTGGTTTATATTGGTTGGTGAGATGCTGTACCAAATGCCACTACCAGGAAAGGCCCTTCCATGCCTGCTCACCAGTAGGCACCTGTGGTGGAACCGCAGTGGCAAAGACCCCACAGAGCCGGTGGGGACCTCAGTGTCCTGGGCTTGACAGGTGTCAGCCTTTCTCACAAATGTAGCTGGTTTCTGGAAGTTTTAGTTGAGGTGTAAAGGAGATGAACGTAAGCTCTGAGGAATGTTGGGTGTTGGCTTTGGACAGCTTCACAGGCATCACTTTCAGAGTCTCAAATTCTCTAGGGAAGAAGTGCACTAAGTTCTGCTGTGTGCATGCAATTAATCCATGCAATGTCATGTGGGAGAAGTCCTGTTTTTCCTCTGTGTCACTGGGGGGAGTGCCCAGGAGTGCTGGTGTTAACCTCTTTTTCATGGTGTCCACTTGACTAGATAAGGGTACTTTCCATATTACTAAGATATAACTCCTGAGATGGAGACCAAATTTGCTTTCTGTTCCTCTGAGCTGAAAGTGTCCAAGCAGAAAATAGACCCCCTTAAGCCACCTCACACTGCCCCTTAAATGAAAAATGAATTTGTGATTACACCCTTTCCCCTGAAGATTAGAGAAACCTGTGTTTATGAGCTTCAGGAAATCCGAAGGGCAATTCTGGTTAGTTTTATAACTAATGCATAAATTCTAGCAATAATAACAGTGAGAAACTTCTAGCCATTCTTTCACATTATTTTGCATTTTCAGCTCATTCTGTACAATGGCAAGGATTGGGCACTTTTAACTAAAACTGAAGCTTATAGGCTTTGTGGACCCCTCACCCTGGTCTCTCTCCTCATAACTAAGTCTTGTGCACCGTGGGCTGGCTGTTGGACTTCTTTTGGTTTGTGGTCTCTGCTGAGCCGTGTCTGGCTTTTCCCTTCAGAAGAGGAACACCAGAGGCATTTTCTTACACAAAGATGCCCAGGGCATGTTGCACACCTTTGTTTCAAAAAGCCGAGCTTTGAACAGAGCAGATGTATTGGGCAGGTGAGACTCTTAGTAACTGGGTTTTTGACAAGGAGGTCCTGGTGCATCTTTCAGGGGAAATTTCAGGTCCCCTGGTGCAAAGCAGAAATACAAAAAAATCTTGTTAGGGAGTGGACACCCTTGGGATTTATGAGGAGCATCAGAGTATTTGGTTAAAATCACCAAATAGGCTTCACTATTACCAGCACTTCACAGCATTTCAGTATCTGTCTGCTAGCTAATTGGGATTTAGAGTATCCTTGGAAGGTCTTTAGAGCATCCTTGGAAGGTCTTTAGAGCATCCCTAGAAGGTCTTGAAAACTGTGCTTAGTCTTATTTTTAAGAAACTGCACGCTTCGCCTGAATTAAAAGAAGGCTGCAGCTGTACAGATAATAAAATGATAATAAGTAATACCTGTAAACACTTCTATTAAAACAGAGCTGAGGTTTTTGAGCTAGGAGCTTCCGCGTTAAGGACATCTACGGGCTGCCTCAAATCTGCTTAGGCAAATGCGAACTTGGCACAAACATGCGCTCAGCAGGCAGTTTCTAATATATTGTTCTGAAAATGAGGGGGAAAAACTGCACCCCAGGATTGAATAGTAAGGGTGGAAGTCACGAGGACAGAGCCAGACTCTTTGCAGTGGTGTCCAGCGA